TCTGGGTAATCATAAGGAAAGAACTGAACATTTGGAAAAGCCTCCTGGGGACAAATTCATTTCTAGCGTAACTCTGCTAAAGTTAATGGTGTTGCACCATGGATTAAAATGGCACCATAATATTAAAAAACAGAGACAGCATACTACTCTGTAATTACTGTCTAAGAGAGAAAAAATAATAAAAATGATTCATTCTTATAGACCCCAAAGGGCACAGCTGGCTTAGTCAGTTTAAAAGGTGAAAATAAAAGAAGGCAGCTAGAATGTAGCGATTTTTAATTTGTATATGTGTATATAGATATGTGTAAATGACAGTCAGATAACAACACCTCTGCACTAATTTTAAGAACAATACGCTAGAAATATAATTTAATGTGACTGTGAGTTTTAAAAGACTGATAACAGAAATAGCTCTTAGGAAAATTAAAGGCCTTCTTTCATGCTGGCATAAATTAGGAATAAATTCCTTCTAATCAAGTGTTACACTGTTGTAAGCTTAATGCAAAGGAATTGGGCCCCTGAGCACCAAAATGGTTATTCTGTAACACAATCAAGCACCAGGAATTGCATTTTCCCCTTCTTAAAAAAGGACAATGTTATTTTTTTAGGCAGTTAACATTTAAAGGTCATTGTTACGGGAAGGAAACATTTCTTCTATTAAGTTTAGTGAAGTTGGTAGAAACGGCGCAGTCTGTTCCTTTACGGACTTCACTTTACAATACCATATGGAGGTGTGTGAAGCTCAGCAGTATCGTACAATATAACAGCAAAAGCAAGGCAGAGATCTGACAGAATAACTGCACGGGCTTCAGAGGCATTTGTCAGTAACAGCTGTTATATCTCCGGCTTTCTTGTTATTTAAGTGAGCTTCATCTAGGCAATAATCCTTTCCAGCCAAAGGAATAATACCTCATGATGAGAACTGAGCTCCCAAGCACAGGAAGTCCTAGAGAAAGAGCACAACTCCAAATATTTCTGCAGATTGGCTAAAGAGTGTCCCTGCTTACCTATCTCTCAGTGCAGTGAATGATCTAGCAAATACTTTGCGGTCATTAGTTACTCAGATGTCCCCTGGTGGTCTTAAGACCTCTTGTGCTCACTGAAACACAGCTTTCCTTGAGTGTGTAATCAATAACAAGGCTGCCACGCATGCCCTTTGTACCTGCCGTTAGCCAGAACGCAAAGTCTTGCTCTCTCTAAAGGTGCCAGACATCACCATTTCCTAGAATAAATTATCTGGGGAAATCAGGTTTCCTTGTACAAACAAACCACTCTTTCAGTTACACTGTAACTGAGACACTGAAAGAAAAACGGGGGGAGAGGGAAATTGGTTGACAGGAAATCACTGGCCCGATTCAGCAAGTGGGGAAAAGGAATGAGAGTTTTGAAGATAAATAAATTTTCACTGAAATATTATCTGATATATTATTTTGTTGTTTAAAAAAACAGCAGGATCCATAACAATCTATGGAGATTTCTGTGCTTATTTGTTTATAGACCAATATTCCCTTGATCAGACAGGCCTCAATTACAAGGGATGTTAGTTCTTTCGTTGATTTCTCAAGGTAGATATTAACATTGAAGTAAAAGGATCCCCCCTGCCTAAAGATACAGAAATGAACAAAAAATTTAGTTCCCCTTTTTTTCCTGCCACCGAGATACATGCTGACTTTTCATTTAAAATGCCACAGCTGTCAGCCTCTACTGAGGTAAATCAACGAAACCAGTCATAAAGAAATGGAAAAATATTTTAAAAAATTATAAAATTTTAAACAAATAAAACTTGAGTAAGGTTTTCCCTTTGCTTCTGGGTACAGGCTGGTTATCAAGTAAAGCAGACTTACTTCTTTTCCCAAGCAGTGTCCATAATAACAAGGGGACAGAAATTAATTTTTAAATGAAAGTTCAGTATAATGAAAACACATGAGTCCAGAGGCTGGGGATTTATGTAAAGCATCAAATACAAAGTCTTGTGACAGAACCGTAAGAGTTATCAAGACTAAATAATTATAAAAAGAACTACCATTTTCCCTTGTTTCAAGGCAGGCAAGACTTTGCTAGTTTTACTGTACATTCCTTTGTTTGGTCAGGAAGATCCATTCTACAAAAGCTCCATTAATTTCTGATAGGCTAAAAGGAACAATTCTTAGTTCATCTAAAAGTACATTACTTGACAGAATAAAACCCACAGAAAAAAAAAAAAGGCAAACCCTTTGAGGCTTTATCACACTACAGTAGACTTCAGAGACACTGATTATGAGACTGTGTTTGTACAAAAACAACACATTAATTACCCAGAGAGGCTTGAAGTGAGCAGAAAGATTGCAAGAGTGGATTATCAAGTCCTCAGTCTTGACAACACTTGGAGCTAGGCCTTTTAAGTACTTGGGCACCTATTGTGTAGGTATGTGTTGTATGAGGCATTTAGTGGGTGTTGAAAGTCCTACTCAGTGACAATATCTATTTTTTAGTGCCTTTATTCCTTTAAAATTTACCTGTCACTGGCTTTTTCATAGTTTAAACTTCAGTATACCACCTCTGAGAAATCATAGGAAACTGCCACCCGGATCACGGTCTCCTTCTTGATGTTATAACCCATAGCAGGCACAAAGACATGTCACAAAAAAGATCCAATGCACAAACATCACATATAAATAAACATGATAAATATAATTATGTGCCACTCTGATGTAGCCATTCCATGCAAATGTTTTTCTATGCAGAATATGCTGATGAGAGCACCTTAGCAAGATTGTAATTTGTGAAGTACACTGCTCACAGCATTTGCAGGGTGCCCATTCATTCAACAGGATTTATATATATGCCTAGATTATGTACATGCTTAAATGTATGGATGACTTTAGCCTTTAATTAAAAGTTTAATATTAAATTAAGTTTGGTCTTTTAATGAAAAATGTCATCTATGAAACAGCAGACTAGAGCCTCAAAAAAGAGAAGTATCTCCCTTTTATTAAGGATCATCTCATGAATTTTATGCATGAAATCCTCTGTAGACACACCTGAAACTCCAATATCCAGTGGTCAAAATGAAACATGTCTGCGGAAGAAATAAAATCCTACTTACTTCTGCCCATTTTGAAAGGGCAGTCAGTAGAACAGGGATTATATAGGGAAAATGTAAGCTAAAATATATTATTTTTCAGCTTCAATGACAATTTGTTTGGCTTAGAACTAGCTACCCAGGCTAAGATATTTGCATTGGGCTGTTCGGATTGAGGTCATCACTTCTATTTTGCAAGTGACAATACACTCCTGCTATAGGTCACGCAGGAGAGCAGACTGTAATTATTTCTGTTTATATCAAAGGGCACTTATTCTGGTCTAATATTTTTTGAGAATTGGATGCCGCTATTGCTGTTGCTGGGGTGTTTTGTTTCAAGTGATGTACTCGATTATCAGTCTCTATGCTTTGCTAGTATCTGTGGGCGATAAAGTCTCTAGTAGAGCTTATAAAAAAACATTGCTTTCTGAAAGAGTCCTACAAAAAACCTATTTCTTACACACAGAAGGAGAGACCATTTAAAACTCAATGGCTTCAGAGTTATGGAAAATAGTCGGCAACGCAAAGACGTCAGAATTGTGCAAAGAGGGCAAATAGGGGAACAGGGGCACCAACAGCATTTCTGCTACAGGAAGGTCTAGAGGCTGCCAGTTGTTCAGAGGAAGGAGGCGACACCACATCCGCACACTGCAAATCCTTTGGGCAGCCAACTGTTAATAACCACAGTGGCACTTCATAAATGAGTAATAACACCCAGGGTCGCAGAAGTACAGCCGGGGAAGTACCATTCCCTGTCTTCAGCTATTTACATGCTCAAGACCTTGTTCAGAAAAAGTTTTGATGCTCACACACAACTTCAGGTGTGTTAAAGGCGAGAGGACTAACCACTAGAGACAGCACCAGGAGGGAGCGTAAATATGTTGCTGAGGCAGATCATGGAATCACAGAATTATTGGAGTTGGAATGGACCTTCTAGAGATCATCTAGTCCAACTCTCCTGTCAAAGCAGGATTGCCTAGAGCACATTACTCCGGAGCACATTACTCCAGGTGGGTCTTGAAGATCTCCAGAGAAGGGGACTCCACAGCCTGCCTGTTCCAGTGCTCTGTCACCCTCACTGTAAAGTTCTTCCTCATATTTGAGTGGAACTTCCCATGTTCCAGCTTGTGCCTGTTGCCCCCCATCCTGTCACTGGGAACCACTGAAAAGATTCCAGCTCCATCCTCCCTCAAACCGCCCTTTAGATACTTATAAGCATTAATAAGGTCTCCCTTCAGCCTTCTCTTCTCCAGGCTAAAGAGTCCCAGCTCTCTCAGCCTTTCTTCATAAGGGAGATGCTCCAATCCCTTAATCATCTTTGTTGCCCTATGCTGGACTCTCTCCAGCAGTTCCCTGTCCCTCTTGAACTGGGGAGCCCAGAACTGGATGCAGGATTCCAGTTGTGGCCTCCCCAGTGCAGAGTAGAGGGGGAGAACGACCTCCCTAGGTGCCAAACCCTACTTTGGTTTACACAGGAAAAAAAGCTTCATGAAATCTTACTTTCCTCACACGGTAGTCAACGCACTTCTGAGCTTTTCGACACCTGAAAGACACTTAAAACGCGTTTATGCAGCAGCCTCCTAGGCGCTGCGTTCACTTTACCCTTCCCAGTTGCGCACCTTCCCTGTGAAAAAACCCGAGTCGCCGCAGGTATCGCCTCCTTAAAACCCACCTAGGAGCCAAGGAAAGCGCCCTGAGGGATCTCAAGACTATTTATGCCAGCGTGCTTCGTATCAAACCCTAATTTGAGGGAATCAAGGCTTACACCTCTGCCGGCCCTGGGCGCGCTGAGGGGACGCCGGCTTGAGGCGGCACCGCCCCGGCGGCGAAGGGGAAGCGGCGGGGCCCGGCCCGGAAGAGGAGGGCTTTCCGCGGCGGTTCGGCGGCGGCTTGGCGGCGCAGGGTGAGGAGGGCGGCCGGCTGCTGAGGGAGGAGGGTGGCGGGAAGGCGAGACCCGCCGTTGAGGGGACGGGGCCCCCTGCCCGACCCGCCGTGAAGGGGGAAAGTGGGCTCCGGCGCTGAGGGGAGTGAACCCCGTCCGTTGTTCGGGGCGGGGGAAGGTGTGTGTGGGGGATCCTCCCTTCTTATCGCTTCCCCCCTCCCGCAGGGTGAATATTGATATTAAAATTATTAATCGTAAGGAGAGCGGCTCCCACTGCTCTCTGGAGAAGGCTGTGGTGGCGTGCGGTGGGTCCCCAGGGCGATGTTACCTCAAACACCCCCCCCCTCCATCTTTGACCGAGGCGCGAAGTTCCCTGGAGATAGCTCACAGTAAGAACTAACGAGATTAGCTCATGGCAAAAGAGAAAAAAAAAAAAAAGAGGGTGAAGTCACTGGACATCCTGCAGGAATAACTCCTACCCCTGCTTCAGAAAGATTTAGGCTGCGTCATTAGGTGGGAGGCGGCAGATGGGCTCTGGAGATCACCAGGCACCGAAGCTGACGAAAGGGGAGTTTACTCCGTTTACTAAATGCTGTGCTGTATTCCCCATAAACATTGCACTCACCCTAGTTTCCAGGTGCGGCGGGGAGAAGAATTGGGCTTGGTCATTGAGGGTATATATTTTATCTCTCAGGGTCCAGAAGAAACCTGTCTCCTCCTTCCTTCCCTCCAGTTTGCAAGGTGAATATTGGTCCTGCCTGCAAATCTTCAGGAGACAGCAGAAAAGCTTATTCTGGAAGTCTAGAGGCAGAGACCTTTAATGCTTTACATTACCCAGGGCTTATTAAAACAGTAGGCATAGAGCCTTTCTCAGCATCTGCTATTAGGGCCAGACTTTTACCGATGGACAGTACTAGATAGCACCAACGTCTGAAGGGCAAATGCATATATAGCCAGGTAAATAAGGAAACTAAGGCCTTAAAAACAAATCCCATTAGAGAGGCATATTATGAGGTAATTTAACTTCCTCTTAGTTGCTGTCTTTTCCCTGAATCAAGTTATTACCACATAAATTATTGTGATTAAATCTGATTATTTTGCTTTGCTGGCTATGTGTATCTGTAGGCTTTGCATGATATTCTGCCTTAGCAAACATTTCACATTGATTGTAGTAATGTTTTTTCCTGTCAAAAATGGATTGGGAGTAGACTGGGAGTGCGTTGTGAATAAATGTTTTTTCTATTACTAACCCTCAGAAATGTTCCATATCTTTCTACCAGAGCTCATCTAATCTAGGTCTATCAAAATCGATTCCAAGGTGCTGCTGCGTAATAGCTGACTATATTAGGTATCAATCTAAGTTGAATTTCTCCTATGTGGATAGAGTCCCTTAAAACCACTCCCAGTGTTTAGACAGATCAGTGTCTCCATATCCAGAACAGATGTCCAAAGGCTGCACATGGAATTGGAATTGCTTTCTATCAGAGAGAACCTCTTCGGGACAGTTATTTAGTGTCTTAGATTGTCAAGACTTAAGAGTCAACCACCTATGCTGTCTGCACAAAACTTAATTGCTGTGTTAATCCGAGTGTAACTTTTCATTTTGGTAGCTATTACAGTAAAAGTCTTCCTACATTGCTAAAGGCACTTTTATTGTATTCATGTTTAAAGTTTTCAGAATGACTTCCTTGGTTGACATGCCCTTGAACTATGAAAAGATGTTTGCTCACCGATTCACATCAGATGATGAAGAATACCAAGAATATCTGAAACGCCCTGCAGATCCCCCTCCTATAGTTGAAGAATGGAGAAACAGATCTGGTGGCAACCAGAGAAACAGAGATCGGTACTGATTATTTTATCTAGTAGAAATGACTGTAAAATCCATCATCCACTCTGTCTAGCTAGTGCAGTGTTATCTGCCTACTGCAAAATATTTGAATTATTTCTTCAGGATGTAATTGCAGCTTTTTACTGAATTCTGGACAGTAACATCTGATTTTTGTGTGACTGAAAAACGATTACACATACAGTATGTTTGGCAATAGTAACATGAGCCTTTAATACAAAATAATTAAAATTACGTCCAACTAACAATTTGTAAGGCTTCTTAAATACCTAAGTAGGATTTGTGTCTTATCTGAAGAAAAGGAGGACAACATAATTCTAACTTTTTCTCACTCTAGAAGCTTGTCATCAAGTTAAACACAAAATCAGTTTCTACAGTTTAAAAAAAATGATAATGATTGTTTAAGGAGATATTCTTACAAACTGTTGTTCTTTGAACTAATGAACTCTTACATCTACACTCTGGTCACACAGTGAACCTCATGTAAATGCTGTTTGTCTACACCACACCATTGAAATATCCAAATAAAATGACCAGGAGGCAGCTCAAGTGTTGATAGGAATCAAGATACAGCTGAAAAGCTAAAACTTAGATTGAACAATGGCTAAATACAGCTGATAAGATACACTCTCTTGAGTATGGGAATCTACAAGAGGCCATGAAGCAGGGGTAGTATGGATTTTAGGGAATATATGAATTCCAGGACTCTATGCTGTTAGGTAGCTAAATTGTCCGTAAGCCTGCTTTGCCACAGCTTTCAACCATGAAGTTACTAGGTTGACCCTGGCTTTGATACAGCTACGGATGTACCTTCTGCTTGCTTTTTAGATACATGGTCTGTTTAAGTCTCTGAAGTCTTCAGAGTTCCAGCAGTTCATGTAATGCCTGTGAATACACTGTGTTAGGAAACAGACTGTCCTTCTATCACTTAGCAAATAGTGTGGTGGGTATTAGTAAGAAATTAATGAATGATCTCAGATGACTGTAGATATGTTTTCATCAGTTTGTCATAAAAACTAATCAGTAATTGAGCATATAAAGAGTTAAATTTTACAGTTTTCATTAAAACTGTCATGTAAGAGTTCATTGTCATTTATCTTTTCAAGAACTCACCAATTGTGTGAATATTTGACATTTCTTTTCATTGCAGGTTTCAAGATGGCAGATATTTTAGAGGGGACAGATACAACTGGCAAGGTGACTATAGATCTAATCAGAGGCCAGAGAGAAGCTGGGGCAATAACTACCAGCAGCACAGACAAGGGCAATCGTACTCCTCCCACTACGGCTACAACTCCTACAACCCCGGGCCACGTTACCATCCCTACTGATGATACTGGTGGTTTGAAAGTCCAGTAATGTTGTGTAACAAATTCAGTTAAACTTCAGTTTTCTTATTTTTCCACAGTTTCATAGATAACTGAAGATTCAGTATTATAGTCCATTCCTGTTTATCTGTAGTGTGAATTGAAAAAGGGAATACCTTTTATGGATAATAAAAGCATATTATACAGAGTTTGTTTAGACTCCGTAGATCTTGAATTAAATTTCTTTCTCATTCTTTTGTCTGAATACATGCTAGGACACTTCTTCCATCACTGAGATTTCTCTCTGTTACACTTTAGGAAACACAGCAGGTCAGGGGAAAACAGCTGTGGTTTGTGTGCAGCCTGTAGTGGTGGCACATTGCCCTCAGTACTTTTTGAAAGAGATGTACTGTGTCTTTCTCTGGAAAGAACTTCTTAGTTTGGCTTTTGATAGTGAGAAAGGCTCATTTGGTTTGAATTTCAGATGCCTTAAAACTGAGAAGAGAGATGCTATTACAGAAATATTTTATGGCATCATCAATAGTATCTGTTGACTCAATGGCTTCAATTTATTTCCAGTGTTCCTCTTAAAACATGGTCTAAAAGTTGGAATAAAAATTAAGTAGTTTAAATATCTATCTTCTTATTGTAGTAGTTCAGTGATATAAAAGTTTTACCTGAGAAGTGGTATCAGACATAATTTGTATCATCTTAAAATAAATTTGGTATGTGCACAACAACTTTTGGAATTCCCATCTCAGTAAAGCTGTAAAATTCTGATGATAAATGTAATCAGTTTGTATGAAATACTTTGTGCATGTTATAGAAGAAAGGAACCATAATCAGTACTGTTCTGTACTTCTCCTGCATGAGAAAATAGCATAAGCAGTGCAGAGTGTTACTCTGTTCCTAAAAGTTAAGTTTTGTGGGTTTTTTAAGTCTTCACACAATAAAAATATAGTTCAAGTATAACGATGTTTCTGAATATTTCTGAAACTGAGTTTTGAAACGTTCAGCAGTGCAACGCTGTCATCTGTGGTGACAGCCGCGGGAGAAGAGCCCCAGCAGGGAAGTGTTAACGCTGGAGAGCTGTTGGCTGGAGTTAGAAGAATGGCCTACTCAGCTACAGTCAAGAGGATGAGACACACTGTGATTAATTAGAAGTCTGGAGTGTTAATCCACTGTCTTACACTCTACTATAATAGGGTCAAAGTTCTCTATTTCACCATTTACATGATAAGCTAATTTGTATCAGCAGAGCACTGCGTTTCTTCGTACTTGACACTCTCTTCTGCTGCCGTACAGAAACACGGGGCCGTCCGTGCTGGGGGTTCTAACAGCCGTGACGTTACGCGATAAGGAGCGCAAATTAGCGCATTTTGACTTAAAAACAAAGAATAAACGCAGAAGTCACGAGCACAGTCTCACAGCTCATGATGCTTTTAAGAGCCAAAGAGTATGTTTACATTTGATCTTAGAAATTCACACCATACGTAGCTTTTACACAGCCTGTGATACACAAGCCACGACACAATTGTCTCCACCTACCTGCCAAGTGTATCTGTTTTCTGCTTTTCATTAAATATTGGTAACTCTGATACAGTTTTTAATATCCTACTCCCTGAAGTATTTGCCTTGAATCCAGTTGTTTAACCTTGAAAATCTTTTAGTGAGTTTGTTTTTCCTTAAGGAGTTCTACTGGATGGAACACACCCTTTCTTACCCTTAGCGTGGCAGAGCTGTTGCACTGGGGGATACTCGACCACACAAAGTTCCTCTGTGAGCACTGTGGAGAGCCTGCAAGTCACCACAGCGAGATTCCCTTTTAATGTGCAAAACACCAGCTATCCCAAGCTCCCCCCGCCAGGAAGGGAGCCCAGCTCTCTCTGCAAAGAGCCTGGCACTGCCAGCTCTGCCACCGTGGCTGGGCCAGGATCTTCTTCTTCCTTACCATCTGGGGGAGCGTCTCCGGTTGAAGCAAAACCTGGCAAAAGGAACGGATTCTGCCTCATCTGTTGCCTTTCCTCAAGCCCAACAATTATCTTATTTTTAGTCCCCTTCAGCTAGTAAATAAAGAATCCCCAACGTGGTGACCAAGCTGTAGAAGCAAATAAATTAGGAGGGCTGAAGTGGAAGTTATGACTTAAAATCACACATTTCATGTTCTCAGCTCTCTTATTCTGAATTTCTCAACTGCAAGACCAGGAGAGACAGAGGCCAGGGCAGCTTCCTGATTTCTGTCTTCACATTCTTGAGCTCTCAATCAACTGTAGGGACCCGTATGATTTACAAAACTTTTCCTTGGAACAATTACAGAAAAAATGCAATTTTTTGTGGGGAATTAATTTCTAAATAGATGCACGACTTGCACTGGAGAAAAAAGTAAACAGAATTCAAAATATATTACGTCCAGCAGTTTCCTCTTAGATGAATTAGTATTTATCATGAAGTCCACAGTTTAACATTTCTGTCAAGTTAAATGAAACCAGCAAGTATTGCCTGCAAGTACCATTTGTGCCTTACAGTGTGTAAAATGATAAAACTGCAGCTGGGTAACTTTAACATTTGCAACTTGAAACACTACAGAAATTGTTTGCTTTAACTATGCTGGAGATTGCAGGGTAAACATGAAAATTCAGTGTCTGGAATCTGACTTTAAGAGATCTCTTCCATCTGACATTTGCTCAGACATCATTATTATCATGAATAAAACAAAAGAAAGATAAGTGTTATGTATTAAAAAATGACTGCCACATTACCAAGTGTTTGAACACCCCAGAAGTTCTGAATGCAGCTCTTGCAGCAGTTCTAAATCTGTTCCTGAATACATAATAGCGCTTTTGTATGGACTGTTAATTCATACTGAAAAATTATCATGCGAAATTACAGGTGCCGTGGCAAACAACTAAGAAAACTCAGTAGCTTTCATACAATGTCTTAACCAGCATTTTAAAAAACTGCTAAAGGCTTTCAAACCACAGCTAAGCTACTAGATACTTGAAGGCAAAAGATAGTGCATAGTAAAAAAAATAGTGTGATTTGTGAGATAGAATTTTACAAGTGTTCACTGCTCTTCAAGCTCTATTTTATCCTGGCTCTGCAGCTGGGAGCAGCAGCGTGCAGACGTGCTCTGAAAGGTTAGGTAGAAGCTGAACTACTATCAAGAGGCTCTCTACTAGAGATTTCAGACAGGGAAGACAAGTGCCATTTCTGATATACGTATAATCAACATTCAACTTCTAGAACAAAAAAGGTATTTAATATATTGTTTAAATATATTTGAATATATTGCAGCAGTTATATATTTGACTATATTTCAACTCGTACTATTAATTTGATAATAAATAGTCTGCTTAACCAAGAAACATGTTCACATTTGCTTCTTATACTTCTTATTCTGAGATGTTGGAAGGAAAATTCTTTTTTTATATCCAATTTAAGCTAAGGTTTTGCCTGCCACCACCCCCTATTTGTTAGGAAAAAACCCAATAAATCTCTGAATTACACAACTCTGGGTGAATTCAGGTAGCTGATCCAGCTTGTGCAGTCACACCTCCAACTGCCAAAGAAGAGGGGTAGGTGCATGGAGCAAGAAGGAAGGGAGAACAGGGCTGCTCCTTCCAGCATCTACTGACCACCTTAGGAGCCATTCAACAGAACTGCACCTCCCTTGCCTTTCCGTTTTCAGGAAAAATTACTACAATCTGTCCCCTTGTCCCTGCACGTTAGAGGAGAGCTATACAAGCCAGAGGAGAGCTATACAAGCCAGAGGAGAGCTATACAAGCCAGCTGAAATGGGGCACAGCGCTGACATTCTGGTGAGCAGAAGCCAAGCGAGGTCACGGGGCAGGGGCTTTCCTTGGGAGCACCTGGGAAACACGACTCATGGAGACAAATCCTAGAGATCAGCAGAGTCCAGCGGCTCCTGCACTGCCGGGAGAGCGGACGGCAGCCGCGCTATGGCCGTGCACCATGATCTTGCCTCTCAAGAGAATTATTTTTTCATTAGGCCCCGCAGGCTGGAATTTATTTTTGTGTTTACCATGGCCTATATTTTCCTCCAGTAAAGCACGGACTGCACTTAGTGGTTGTCAGTCCTCATTTGCGTATGCGAAACAGGGATGCCGAAGTGCTGTTTCTATACAGCTCACCCCCTGACTTTCCAAGTATTCTGTCCCGTTAAAATGCAAACTTATTACAAGAGACGGTGAAAGCTGGTAATAACTATGTTTTACTCTCAGCCTAATAAACACACAACAGGATAAATCACATCATCACCCCCAATAGTTACCTCTTGTGTTATTGTGACTAGAGGGAATACAAATTAATGTTGTCTTTTTCCTAACAAGGAGATGCTTTTTTTTTTCCAAATAATACTTCACCAGCTGGATGACTTTTTTCCACAAGTATGGGCTGTCTTCTTTTTTCCTGGTTTTTTTTTTCTTTTGCATATTGTGTAATTCAAACTTTGCTTTACTAATAAAATAACAAATATCAAATTTGCTCCTGCAAATTGTTTGAATAAAAAACTTATCTATTGAAAAGATGAGTTAAGGTTAAGGAAACAACTTAGTTATTTGTTACAGAGCTACAAAAATAACCGAGGCCCAACTTTACCCATGAAAAAAAATAATCTTCAAGGATTCAAGTGGGAGTCTTCAGACTGAAACATGTTACATGTGAAAAGAATTATTAAGACACTAAGCTTTTTCAAAGCTCTTGTCCAGTGTGAGGAAACATAATTTGGTATTTATATACCCACATAAATTAAATACTTAAGATTATAAATAGTACTGTTGAGATAAAGGTTAAAAAGCCAAGTATACTGTAAGAAGTTTCACATAGCTTTTGGCCACTATGTTCCAAGTTCAGCACGATCAGAGCTGATCAGAAAGCAGATGCTTTTTGTTCAAAGTCATGTCTGAAGTTTATTTCTTAAGAAATGCTTGAAATGATACATTTTCTATTGAAAATGTGCTCAAGAAAAATAAAGTAACAGGGCCCCAAATGATTACATATTCTTTTTACAAAATAAAAAGAAAATTATTTTTTCCATAGCAAAGGCCTGCCTGCTTTTAAGTTCTACCCTTCTGTAGTCATCAAGTCATCTTGATTTATGAATGTCACTGAGACATAAAACAAAGTATGTTTAAGAATATTGCTTCAGTGGTTTTAATGGTATGAGCGTTTAAATACAGCATGCGAAACCTCTGGAGTTCAGATCAGTTCAGTGCAAAAGCGCTGTGTGGACACATGTTCTTCACAGATCAAGCTCCTCTTACTTATAAGCCACACGCTTGAAATGCCTGTTCTGAAGAGAGCTGATGGAGCATCCATCTTGGGGTACACATCCCCACCTCCAAATCCCAGCCACAGCTACACTGCTATAGGAATGTAAAGGAGCTTTACCTTAAATTGCCAACATGGGCAAATTCTATTTCTCCAGCCCTGCGGCTCAGGGGATACTTCCATCAGCAGAATCACATTTTTTGTTGTTCTAAGATAAGATGGGAGCTGGGGGGGTGTTGTACAGCCAAGGCAATGATAGGAAGAAGCACGGCTGAGCTAAAGGAACAATTACTGTTTCCTCCTGTGGGGGAAAATAAGTTCTGAGATTTGATTATTGGTTATCAAGTGACTTTACTGCCACGCCACAGCCTGGGAGGGTGGAGAAAGAAGAAATTCCTTCCTCCTCCACAGACTCCAGGGACCTCCCCAGCATAAAACAAGCTGGTAGAATAAGGACCGAGGGATCTGGAAGCAGTTAAGCAGCTGGCTCATTACACTGGCAGAGCTTAAGTCCTTAAGTAAGGCAGAGAGATCCAAGGGGCGATAAACAAATAGCTATTGATCACATATCCTGCAGTCTGGGTAAATCCAATTGAAGAACCTCTTTAGACCTCCCTGGAAGGATTTTCGTTTTTCAGAGACAAAATGGATTCAGAACTAGGTAATACAAGATCAGCCT